GGAAATAATTTTTTACTTTTTCCGACACATTTTTCGATAATGTATGATGCACTGGAGAAAGGACCTGACACTGTCTATGATGTACAAATAATCTTCATGGATATGATTTCGGCAAAATTATAAAAAACGATTCAAAATTTTTAAAGCTCTATTGTGAAAGACTGTAATTAGCATAAAAGCAATAAAAAAACTTTTTTTTGCTTGTTTTGTGTGAAATAGGGATTAGGACTATCATTCGTATTAGCGTAGTCTAGTATTAGCTCGTTGAAAAATACTAACTAAGTAAATTACGGCGATACTTTGAGTTAAATTGTCATATGACTTCGGGTTTCCATACAATTTCTACAAAACTGTGACGTAGCGAGCCCCCACTTCTCAACTTTAATCCCTGTTATATAAGCTATTCCTTGTAAAATTTCAGTTAAAAAAATACGTATCTAATATTTTTCTATTATCTGACTGTCGGACTATATTTAATTTATTTTTTTTTTACACAGTCGTCATCCCTATTCGACTGTGGGAATAGATTTCTGTCACTACTTGAAGCGACGGGTGACAAAGATTAGAAAGCCTACTTCACAAAAAAAATAATTTCGTTTATTTTCAAAACGCTAATATGACCCAAAAAAAATTTTTTTTTCCGTAATTTATGCTGCAACAGAAGTAGGACATGACAGTGCCTGTAATACATGGATAAATCTTCAAGCATACGATTCGACTCTCAATGCAGCATTTTCTTAGAAAACATTGAATTTCGAGTCAAATACTTGCCTAACGTAACTTGATGTTTGAACTTTGTTGTACATCTAAACTTCTGCTCAACCCTTATGTGATAAAACGCTGGTTTTAAGGTTGGATCTGGGAGGTGTGATACCTTCGTCATTTGAGACATCTAAAACTTAAGGGTTTCTCTTATTAACTTGAGATCTCGGTAATTTATGTGATATTATAATAATTCGTTTACTTTTACATTTTATCCGAAATTTCTACTTAATTTGTAGAGAAGCTTTTATTATGAAGAGACAATTTGTTCAGACAATATGTCATGTAAAGCGAAGTTAATTGAAACAAATCTGCTGACCACTGAATTACGAATCGAATGAAACCCGACAATCGGCTCACTGACTCACTAACTATAAAAGACTATTTATAACGTCTATTATACTATGCAAGACTGACAGGGCGATCTCCAACCAGAGTAAGGAGAACTCTAGCTCCATAATATAACAGGTAAACTTCAATAAACTTTGAGCTCTATATGCACTAGACACTGATTGAGATGAAAGATATATTACGTCTCTGGACGTGACATCGTATTAACTTTGATAAAGGTTAACAATAAATGTTGGAGTAATAACAACGTAAATATGCAAAACATTCGAGTGACTGAAAGACGAATATTCCTTTGAAGAGAAAATGAAATGTCATTATAGGCGTCACACATTTAGTCTATTTGAAAACATGAAGTCGAGTGTTAACCGTTTAACATTCAACTCAAAGTTCTTTTTCACAACGATAAAAAAAACTGTTTGTCGGTAACTCCAGTCTAAACAACTGGAATGTAGGTAAAATGTACAATCACCAGGATTACCACACCAGACACTTCTCTGCTTTCAAGGATTATATCCGAAACTTTATTTTCTAGCCATTTATGTATTAAGTAATATAATAACTATTTCTAAATTGCTGACATATAATTATTTTTTGTTATTAGAAATAAATAAACGTAAGAGGAGAAACATGACGAGAATGGATGTAGCACATGTCACATCTAGAAACTTAAACATTAATCGCTTATCTATGTCGACCAGGGCTTGGGAACGGTTCGAAAAATAGCGGTTATAAAAGATTATCCGCTACTAACCGTCACGAGCTATTTCAAAAATTATAACTCGTAGCCGCAACGTTTCGAGATCATTATAACGACTAGGATTAACCTGGTTAATACCCAACGAAAATGAGTGCGGAGCTTCATATGCCGTCTGTAATAGATCTAATTTTTTTTATTAATGAAAATTGACGCGAGAGTGCGAAGAGATAAGACAGAGAAAGCGACAGATGGGCTGAGTAACCAAAATATATAAGCGGAATTAACTTTGATCTAAAACTGAATTAATATCAATTTAGAATAATCGAAACTCGAATAATTAACGCTCTCAAAAAATGTATGAAATTTCATACGGTTAATGACATTAACCAGGTTTCCTAGCCCTGATATTAACGCCGTCTGATGAGTAGAATTTTGCTCGACCATGAACATTTTGCTCTAGATAAAATGGAGAATAAAATTTATGAAGAACTTTTAGTCTAACTTTTTCACTTTAATATAGTACTTATTTATTCTTCATATAATTACTTTAAAGATCTTTAAGAACAACAGCGCCCTTCATATCATCCTGCCCATCCAGGAATGAGACAGGGGGTTTTGCTGAGTTTGGAACCGTCTTGTCCTCGTATTTTTATATTTTTCTTTATTAGTGTGCTCAACAAAACGTTTTTCTTTCTTTTTTCTCTTTCTTTTGCAACAATATATTTAGAACAAAACATCAACAAAACCCGCCAATGATAGAGAGGAAAGATAACGAATATTTGGACCGATATTTTAACGAAGTTTTCGCCAATGTATAAATAAAAGACCACTAATACTTGAAGTGGCTTATATCAACTATGAAGTGACTTTTAAAAACTTAAAGGAGTCAACGCCTACAAAGGTTTTATGTCAGAGTAAAAAGTATTTAGTGTCCGTGTGATGTAAAAGGTACATAGGTCCCATATGAACATGTCAAGAGTAAGTAAATCACATATAGAAAATACTTTTTTACTTAGTTTTATTCCAAAAATATAACAGACGCGAAGTCCTATTCATCAATATCTGTTAATAGGATTCCTTATTATGTATTTATATTTATACTCAATTCCAGCTGGTTTACGACATTACTAGGTCATTGGACTGCATATTAGCTGACTTCTAAAATAGTCCTCAGCCCTCTTACGTCCCCACTGTAGGAGTTCAGGCCTTCCTTGTAGATGTTTAAGGAGGAGCGCCATGACCCTCCACACTGGCCCAATGCGGATTGGCAAATACAACCGGGACCAACAACTTAACGTGCCTTTCGAAGCACGGAGTAGCTTGAGATAAAAACTTTTTGGCCATCAATCCCACGATATACCCTTGCGAAAGTTGCTTAACAACAACGATCGCGGGCCGCGGCGCTTATCCAATGAGCGACCGAGCTACCACAAGTTAATTATTCGCGCAGAATGTGTCTACAATGTAGCAATGCAGCGCTCTTATCTAGCTAGAACTGCTTCCTATATAGGACAATTGTCAACGTTGACAGGTAACGGCGGCGGCGGGCGAGACGTCGAGTGCTATTGTGTAGCCGAGAGACACGAGTGTGTAACGGGGTTTATGTTCTTGACGCGTCGCGAATGTCGCGAATTCGTGTTGGGGTTTTAATTGAATAGGGAACATATCACACTTTTGGTGTATTTCATTTCCGTCTTGCACGTTAAAAGGCACTTTGAGAGGAGATAAAGAGAGCGAGTTGCCCAATTAAAAAAAAAAAACAAAACACAACTGACAAAATCGAACTAAAATGATAGAAAAATGAAATAAAAAAAAGTTTGTTAAATTACAAATGTTGCACAGAACGTTCACACGACTGCAATAAGAATTTTATTAAGCTAAGTCATAAAACAAGTTATTTCTTTAATTTTAGTTCGATTTTGGCAGGTGAGTTTTTTTTATTTTGATAAGACGTTGTTTTATAATAAGACTAACAAACTTTTTCATGTTCGTCGTTGTCGTCCTTAGTAACATCACAGATATTATAACAATTCACTAACACTTACTGCGATTACATATATCTACCTACATCCGTTACGGTTTAAAAAACACAGATCTGTGACAGATAGACAGCAGTGACAAATTAAGAGTATCACGTTGCCACCGTTTGTACCTTGACAGCAGACTTCTATAGTAATATTTAATAGAGGGAAGATTTTATTGTCTGGTCGTTTACATCGAATAGGCTCTGAAACTACAGAACCGATTTCGAAAATTCTTTCACCTACTAAAAGCTTCATCACAGGAGGGTGACATAGGCTATAATTTACACAAGCGAAGTAGCGGGAAACTAGCTAACATATTCGGTATCACATTATTGGGGTCATTAGTTTTTAAGTAAATTTTTCAAGCGTGCATTATCCCCAATTATCCTCATTTGAGTAACAAAGGGTGTATCGAGGGCTATTTAACTTCAAAGTGACGTGAAAAGAGGTCTAACTGATATACCCCAATAACATTATGATTTTTTTTATTACCATCGTAGGCGTGTAGTTTTATGATGTTTGGACTTCTACTTTTCGGTATTCTAGTCATTTCGATAGGTGATTTCTGATAACAGAGAAGTCCCAATTGATTTTATTCAAATTCAATATCATTGATTCAGTCTAGGCTGTTACAAGCACTCGAGAAAGTCAAAAACTATGCCATCGGTTCGTAAATCTATGGTAGAAGACCTTATACCGACAAGAACCGGCAAGAAACTAAGCAAGGGTTGGGCTTTTTTTTCTCCCTGATTTATTTCATACAAAGATGTCAAATTAAAATAAAAAAGTGACTTCATTAAGGTATGAAGTCACTTTCCATTACATAAAAGATTACAAATTAGGCTTTTTATAAGTCAGAGAAAAAATCAGGTTCAAAAGAAAACTTGATTGTAAACTCAGACTCCTTGGAATAAAGTCCTAAATACACCGAATCCTATGGTACCACACTCGTATCAGAGTCAGACTTGATCACAACAGATTTTGACCGTGTTTAGATAGTAATAAATATTCTATAAACAGTTTCTTATTAACGACAACTAAACTTCATCGCTGACACTGCGGTATAACGATATCTAAATCAACGTGCGCATATTTAAATAAACCATTCAAATATGCACAAATAAACATAATTTAAAATGAGAAAAAGTACTTTATAAAAAAACCTTCTATCTTCTCAAACTATTAAAACAGTTAACTAATGTCAAATACGCAAAATTCAGCAACGCAAAATTGTTTAAACGGTATCCTATATTATATTCAATAGTGATAATAAAATTGCACTCACCTATTGATGATGCAGGGGTTAATGTCTGGTCCCACGGCTGTTCGTCCTCTTGCTTACGAAAACTCCTTTCCACTGAACCGAAAAAATATATTTTTATTGAAGTAATCATACACACTTGACTACTTTTTTTTTCGGTTCTTAACCTTAAGGGTTCGAAACCACCTTCCCATCAACGGAGGAAGGAGGCGATGAATCCTTCATTAAGTAGTGAACTTGTATTATATAAATCATTGAAGATGGTAACATAACACCCAGACCCGAGACAAAATCGAAAAGTCCATTTTCTACGGTGACTCCACCGAGAATAGAACCCGGGAACCGAAATAATAGTGATACATAAAAAAGACACACTAGTCACTCGACGATGGTGGTCGATATGAACATTTTTAATCTACCTTCACTGCTTACTTGCCACAATCATCATCATCAGACTATTATTTCACCACTGCTGGCGTTCAGGCCTTCCCTATGAATAGAATGAAATTAAATAGGGAAAATCACGACCCACCAGAGAAGGTCGAAATAATAAATAAAAAAGCCGGTCACAGGATGGGTGACCTTGTCAATATTTATGTATTAATACTTACTGTTGAGAAAGTGACCCGTGCTCGATGCTTTTCTCGATTTCTTGTCGCTAGAATCCAGATCTATAGACAAAAAGATATAATGAGACCCAATAAAACAGTTTATGCACAAACATCGAGTTACCATAAAGTGTCAAATATTATGAACTCTATTATCAACGTCTTAAGGTTAAAAGTCAAATAAAGAAATGTGCCAATTTTGAAAACCATCATCTAAACTATATGTTTGACTTGGAAGAATAATAAAAACAAAATGCATTAGATTTACGTCATCACATGTCACTTACAAGTAAAATCACTGAATGCACCTTAGCAACTTCCCACTATTTGTGACAAATGATTATTACGATTCGAGTTTCTCTTTTCTCCTATTTTATCAGAAGTCCTATCACCCTATACCTGTATTCTGAAAAATCCTAGTTCGGAAGTCACCGTTTCCTTGCTACATTATACTAGCAGTTTTCCTGCAACCTCGCAAATTATAACCTACATCACCCGCGTATGATGAACGTATGAACTTTCCGTAGATGAAAGAATTTATAAAATCGGTCCAGTAGTTTCGGAGCCTATCCAATAGATTGGATACATATCAGGCCAGACTTGATCATTTCAAAGTGAGCACCCTTCAGTCAAGACGAGATGTAGCGAACTTATCGACGCTTTACAAAATTATTAACTCCGTATGGGACACTGAAGATCTGTTAAGCTATTTTCCATTTAAATCTACCAATATGCAATAATAATGTAACATACAATGACCCTATTTTCAGAATGTGTAGAGCTTATAATAATTTGTGTAACGATTGGGATATATTTTCACTCTCCTATCATTCCTACATAAGAATATGCAAGTCTAAATTATGATGTTTCTTAATGTATAACTGTTGTAATAATTATTTTGATAATATTTTCTTTTTCTAAATTTCTCAATAATTATGCTAAATTTTGATTTAATTTTCTATTATCATTGAACTTGTTTATTTTTAAGTTTATTTATTATTCATTCATTGTCATATTTACTGATAATACATGTACTATTGAAGTGTCGTGTGCAGCAGTTATAGGAAGGCAAATAAGCAATAAATTAATTAATTATGCCTAATTGTAATCATGTGATCTTGATTTGTTTTCTGTTGCTGTACTAAAATAAAATAAATAAATAAACAAACAAACAATCAAATTATCTCCTTTATCATTATAGTATAGATATATAAATACATAAGGTACAAGATTAATAAATAAATAATTCATGTCTTGCATTTTGTGCTATCTATACTTTCTATTTTCATATGACGTCACGCGGTTTTTCATTTGCGGTTTTTATATTATAACTTTGTATAGATCAGCTGATTTTTTTCGCGAATTCAGTGTCGCTTCCATAGTAAAAGTTGTCCAGTTTACTTAACCTTTCCACTCCGAAAAAGTCCTAGCATATTATAATCTTCCACCATACTTACTGTTGGCGGGGTTGTGTATCCGGTCCATGAAACGTGATATCCTATTGTTGTGATGGTCACCATCTAAACAGCAGCCTTCCTCCACGTGCCGCGCACACGAACGGTGCACTCGCAACTTGCAATCTGTCATTCATAAAATGTCTATACTATAAAACATTCAGGTCACGAAATTCTTCAGCATAAATAAATTTGTATTAAATTTGAAGTTTTAATATTTTTTGTTATTTATATCATTATTTGACCCATTGACCCCTTTAATCATTTTTTTATTTAAACAAAGAAATGTATTTTGAATACTGAAAAAAATGAAATCTAGAATCAAATACATAAACAATATATAAGTACTACAAAGAAATTAATATATGTATAACTAACCTGTACATACGACAGCTTGCGGCGCAAGCCCCCATATCACGTGATCACAGTGATGACAGTGAGCCACCGAAGTCAGCGCTTGCAGTTGTAAGTGGTGACCGCGAACCACGTACTATTAAAATATACATAAACACTTATCATATAACTTCCCAAAAAGAGTCATAACTATGAATTATTCTTCGTTTAGCAAAAAACCAATGTAGACTTCATATTATCACTAAATAGTTGCTCCTCCTTTTTACTTATAGCATTACTAGCCGTTCGCTTGCAATTGGCCGTCGACGACCATTACTAAAAACTTCTTTGTCATATCAACTAGTACCGTCGGCAAAAAATATTAATTGTATTTTTATTCGTCTTAACTATCTAGCAATTAAAGAAAAACTGGGAGTTAATATTCTTTATGTTAAAATTATCACACTGAAAAGGTTTGCCAGGACTTGGGGTGCGGTGAAGCGGGAGCAGTGGAAGCAGCCAACTGAAGCGAACGGCTAGTAGTTGCTATCCACCAGTATAGCAGACTCCACAATTTTAGCTGTAGATTTGTTTTTTTGGAATCAATTCGCTTTCAACATAAACTTAAATCGATACAAATTGAACGCGCATTTTAGAATTCTTCGACCGAACAGTCGAAATTCTAATTTCATCCGTAACTCATTTACGAGGTGTAAATAAAATTCACTTTGCTCGTCTCCTTCCGCTCGCAGTAATAATAATAATAATCTGCTATTAGCGATGATTTTAAGTTTAAAATAATTCATAACTCTACCAGACTACGTAATAAAAATCAAGAAGACAATATGAAAACAAGAACAACAAAAATGTAAAAAAAAAAAAACAATAATTTCACGTTAGTTGTATATCAGCCGCCTTAAATATTTATTTTATTCTGGCTTTTAGTATTTGTTATTGAACCGGCAACAGAAATACATCATCTGTGAAAATTTTAACTCTCTAACTTTGAGTTCCCGGTTCATGAGATACAGCCTGGTGACAGACGAACGAACAGTGGAGTCTAAGTAATAGGGTATCATATAAAATAATTACCGGTTGCGGATGCTGTTTGGCTAACTGCTTGAGTCGTTGTTTATAAAGTTTGTCTCGTTGTAGAAACGCCGCTCGCGAACCGCCCACCGCCGCCGCCACACTCGCCGGCCTATCAACAACACGTACAATCACCATCACCAGCCTATAAAACCCATTCTACAACCCACCGCGACCCACCACACGGGCCCAGTGTGGATTGGTGGGTATTACATACTGCAGATACAGCCGGGACGGGAAATAATAATGTTTTGGTCACCCATCTTATGTCCGGCCATTGCGAAAGTTGCTTAACAACCGCATAGCAGATCGAGCGCGCTAGCCACTAAATCATCGAGCTCCTCGAAACATACAGATCTTATCTATAATGAACCTTATATTGTCCCTCAAAATATTAATCGTCAACACGACAATCTGCGACAGTGAATCGATATATTAACATTTTTGAATAAAAATATAAATAGAATATAACATATTTAGTATGACTTTATTTAACTAACAGCCAGTTGCACAAACGTCTATTAAAATTCATTACTTTAAAAAGACATTACCCATTCAAATTAGCCGTTCATTAGAACTTAAAGGCGTCATTAAATCTTAATTGACCTTTTTTGCAACTGATCGTTAGTGTATCAGTTTATTAGTGTGGACGGTCACAGATATTATATAATAGTGTGGTTCCAATCTTACCAGCTAAATTTAGCACTTTTTTTATTAACAATCACTATACTAAAAATCCCTAATAATAAGTAGGTAAATTATTTTTTTATACTTTTATCAGATATACAAAAAGGATAACGTGGATAATACATTTTTCCGGATATATTTTACATTATTTTGTTATTCTAACTATACGGAAATTATTATCTGAAAACATGACATGACAATATACATTAATTTTCATGGTTTAATATGAAAGTCTCACATAGAAGCTCGTTTGTCACAAAGAATATAAGAGACTATCTACATAGTATAAAGGGTAAGACTTACTTTGGCGCTTTCGGTGTTTTAATCTTAGGACTTTTAGGGGTTTTAAGTTTCGGACTTTTAGGTTCTTTCTTCTTTGGACTTTTAATCTTTGAACTTTTCGGTGACTGCCACCATTTTCTTCTAACCTCACGAGCTTCCTCCTCCGTTATATCCATAACAGTAACCATTTTATAACACAATATCAGTTTAAAGCACTCATAATTTTCAAACGAAATAACAAAATATGTTTATAAATAATTAATATACACAATTTAAATATAAATCTTTAAGTACACGTTTTAATTGCGAAACGTAACTGATAACTAGCAACTATAACAAATATATGTAGTCATTACAAGGAAGTAAACTTAATCCGAAGAGGAAATATACCATATTCAACTTAAAACCCAAAGCTCTAAAGGTCAAATTCCACTGTTAATAGTGTGATGAGAAACTTTAATAATTTATCCTGTATTATTTACATGGGTATGAACCATGTATAGAAAACTCCATAGTGTTAAAATGTCAATAAAAATTATCAGGAAAAACGGAACGTACGAATTGAAACTGTAGAATTTTATTTAAAAATATATTTTATTTGCGGTTTTATCAACGTAATGTCTGGATAAAATTGTTTATCAATTTCTTTAAAAATTAAAAAAAGTAATTCAAAATTGTGAGTTTTAATGCTAACTTTACGATTAATTATAAGTAAAAAAAAAAAAATTTTTACTGCGTCAAAACCTTTAAAACATTATATAGTTACAACTCATTTGGACGTTATTTCTTGATACAAAACCTATTTGAAACTAGTCATTCGTGCTGCGCGCCCTTTTAAAGCGAGATTTTACGAAATCACCACTTTTTAAACCAATTTTATTCTAAAGTCTATGCTAATATTAGCCAAATAAAAATCATTTGATCAAATTTAAACATACGATCGATTGTTTGTAAAAAACAGAAACATAAATTTCGATAATTGGCTAGATAAAAAAAAAATTGCCAAGATGACTCTAAATAGGTTTTTGGATCGATTTAACGTCTAAAAAATATATGAAATAATAGGTTTTGATATAATCTTTTTTTTTTGTTTTATCAAAATTCGATGCATATTTTTGGTATGGGAACGTAAGCGGAGGTACAAGAGGGCCTTAATGTACATACCTACAGTGTAGACATAGCGCGCAGGCCACTAGCGCGGCCAGGAGCGCGGCGTGAGCTTCGGGGGATGCGCAGCCGCATCCGCCCACCGCCCCCCACTCCCCACGCGAGATACTCGTCAACCTTTGACATAGTAGCCTCTCAACTACCACAAGTTCCTGATCACGATAAACATATAATACACATATCACTACACAGTATAAAACAAAGTCGCTTTCTCTGTCCCTATATCCCTATAATAATAATAATTTATTTCAGATTCTGCATCCATATGATATTTCCTAATAACCATGAAACTTTAGGAATATTAACTATAAAACTATTTTAAAACAAACAAAATATATAATAGAAATAAATGGCTTATCTTTATTTATTTATAATCTTATTCGTTTTATATAATTCCAAGTGTGTAGTTGATTATCTAAATAATAAACCAAGTTATAGACAACTCAGATTTCAAAATAAGTAACATAAACCCTCATTTTATAGAGTATTTGAAACAATGAAGGTAACAAAACATTCAGAACCGAGACAACATATGTAGAATATAGAAATGGCGATACCCTGAACCTGGCACGCATACTTCTCTTCTACGGGAATCATTAACAAGATTATTTTAATTTTAAACAATAACAAAATAATTTATATTATAACTAGAAACTAAAAATATAGGAATACGGTCGCCGAACAGAAAGAATTTCGTACAATGACACGGCACTCTTTCACTCGTGCGCAAGTATCGTAGGTAGAGTTATTCATGTACTTACACTGATTTCATACAGCGAAAGAATAAAGTGGATATGCCTCAAATCCCGAGATTAATTTTAAAGAGCAGAAAAAATCCCGTGTTTTTTTAAATAAAAAGTTATTTACTTTTACACAATTTAAACTACTGCACGCACGACGTTGCCAAACTAACATCAATGACATCGGATGTCCAAAGTTGCAAAATACCAATACGCGCGATGTTGCCACATTTGTAGGGAAGGTCCACATTAATATCAACATTTCGATGCAAGTACATAAATAACTTTACCTAATTCCGACCTCTGATAATCACGCACAAATCAAACAATACCGTTGGTATCGTATTACCTGTGCCTTGTCTACGTCGCATTTCTCGAGCAACGAATCCTCCGGTCCATACAGGGTTCCGAGACCGACTTGCCTCTTTACTTGGAACTCGCTCAGCTGCTGACTCAATTCATCTTTGGCTTTCTGTCGCGCTTTACGGAACACGTTGCGAAGGAGTTCCTCTTTTTCATATTCTAATAATAAAATACAATCATTTCACGAAAATAATAATAAAACTGCATTTTAATACAGTAGGCATATTGTCCAATTTCAACATCCATAAGAATATCCATATATTACATAACTTTAAAAGTCCCAATCGCTTTTGAAAACTGATGATATGAATAGGGATGATGACTGGGTAAAAAATGCAATTCTATTTAGTCCGTCAGTCAGATAATAGAAAAATATTAGATACGTATTTTTTGTTACTTCAAATTAACAAGAAATGGCTTAGATAACAGGCATTAAAGTTGAGGAGTGGGGGCTCGCTACGTCACAGTTGAGTAGAAAACGTACTCTAACGTGACGTCATGCGAAATTTCAACTCAATGTAACGACGTAATTTTATGATTACGAAAACATAAAAAAATACGTGTTTAATATTTTTTAACACTACCTGACGGACAAACAAACAAAATTAGTCATCATCCCTATTATCAAGAAAAAATAAAAACTTATCTAAACCAGTCGAAGACTGCAAATATCTTGGAAAACTATTGAGAAATGCCTTTTCCTCATATTTTCCCCAGACATTTGCATTCAGACAATTCTCATAAATGTTAAATTGGATATCGTTCATTCAATATATTTCTAAAAAGAATCAGTCTCGCAATCGCTATCACATGTAAAATAGTTGTAACGTGAAATTCAATTCATTACAAATGAAAAATTGCGAGAGATTGCGATAGATTTTAAAATTATACAATAGGGATGACCATTAATTTTTGTTTGTTTTCCTGTCAGGTAGTAATTGAAGAATACTAAAAACGTATTTTTTTTAGTTTTTACGTAATCAATAAATTGCGGCGATACATTGAGTTAAAATGTCGCATGTCTAGCTTTTGTATATTGTCTACAAAGCTGTGACGTAGCGAGCCCCCTTTAATGCCTAGTATCTAAGCCATTTCTTGTTTAAATTCAAGCAAGAAAAAAAAACGTATCTAATATTTTTCTATAGGCATTATCTGACTGACAGATTAAATACAATTTCTTTTTTTTTAATTCAGTCGTCATGCCTATTAGCCCGCAGTTCTATTATTTGCTAGTTGATACTGACCATTAACTAATACATGTTCGATTTCGTTCGCCATGTTCTCATCGACGCCATTCAATTGTAAAACCTATAACAAATTCAGAACAATGCATATTTTAATGAAATCATAATTTGAAAAAGTATGAAACAAAATATTACATGATGGAAACATTGATAAAAAAGGTTACATATGTAAGTTAATTAAAATAACTTTAACTCTATATAAATCTAGCTCATCCAGTTTTCAAAATTATGATACTACTTTACTCACCGTGATAAATATAAATATTCCAAAATGAGTAGTTAAAGACCCGTATTATGGAGTATCTGAGACAACGAAGATACTACAACACCTAGATCCGACACAATATAAAAAAGTTCATTTTCAACATTGACCTGAGCGGGAATCGAACCCGGGTCCTCAGAGATGGCAACACCTTGAAACCGGCGTGGGAACCACTCGGCTACTGAGGTCACAATGCATCAAATATTAATAATGCGGACAACGATGATAACCAAGTCAAAGTAATGTTAATTAAATCGTTAGCGGCAATAAATTCTATTATTTCTTCCAACACAAGAAATTCCAAAACATTTTATGATAAAGATGATTATATGATAAAGTCTCTCACCGCAGAAGGTATGAGGAAAGTCGATTGTATCTCGTATGCCCAACGACGCAGGGTTGCGTTAGAAACGCCGGCCGCGTTACGGTATCCATCCGTCAGTATCAGAAGCAGATTAGCGCACGCACACCTACAAAAAGTACAAAAAGTACAAGTTACTATTGAGCATATTTTCATAAATATCCAGACAATCAACCAAACAGCCGAAAGAAATATTTTAAACTTTCGATTAAGATGAAAATTTGTTTTTAACAAAATCAAAAAGTCTTTGTACTGAGAACAACCGGCAAGAAACTCAGCAAGGGCTGCTTTTTCTGCATGTTTTATTTCACATAGAGAAGTCTTATTATACAGTGACTTGAGACATTAGAATATGAAGTCACATTCCATAATCCATCCAATCATCCATTTAATTATAATACTTTATCTATTTTGCATTCACAATGGTATATTTATAAATATATATAATGAAAAATGCTTAAAACTCCACCAGCCTCAGATACCCCGATATAGGATTCGAACCCACAACTTCCGCAATTCGGACGACTGCTCTACCCATTGAGCTACCCTAGACCCAACAATATCAGCGGATTTTAAAGCATTTTTCGTTAAAGCAATTTATTTATGCCGTGGGGTGCCGGCCTAAGAGTAGCACCCCCCCATATCCTCCCGTGGGTGTCGTAGGAGCCGACTGAGGGATTATACGGAAGGCGGGCAGCAGCGCCTCCCGGTATCACCTACCACCACCTACTGCGATCCCCAAGTCGCCTGCCAAGCGTGGGGATTATGGCAACCCCCCCCCCCCCTCATGATGGACGACAATGTTGTATGGCCCCCAGTCCCCGGCAGCCCCTCTATTCCTGTCTCTGGTAGCGGGACAGGTGACGGAGGAGCAGGGGGTGCTAAGAATCCCCGGCAGATTCAGCGCTACCAACACAAACGGACTCTGGCCCTGGCAACATACAATGTCCGCACACTGAGGACTGACGTGAAGTTATTAGAGCTGGAGGAAGAATTGAGCAAGTTGCGATGGGACATAGTGGGATTATCCGAAATCCGAAGAGAGGGCCAGGATACGGTAATCCTTGAGTCCGGTAACATGCTCTTCTTCCGGGAAGGAGATCAAAAATCTCAAGGTGGTGTTGGGTTTCTCGTCCACAAGTCCCTCGTGAACAACGTGGTGAAGATCGATAGTGTGTCGAGCAGAGTGGCGTACCTTATACTCAGAATTACCGAAAGGTATTCGCTGAAGGTCATACAGGTTTACGCCCCGACCTCTTCACACTCCGACGATGAGGTAGAGGCTATGTATGAGGAGATTTCTGAAGCCATACATACGACCAATACCTACTTCACCGTTGTAATGGGGGACTTTAACGCGAAGCTGGGCGCTTCGAACGGCGATGAGTTGAGGGTGGGTCGATTTGGGTATGGGCGGCGCAACCACCGGGGCCAGAAGCTGGTCGATTTCATGGAGAAGGAGGGACTCTTTGCGATGAACTCCTTCTTCCAGAAGAGACCCTCCAGGAAGTGGACCTGGATGAGCCCTGATGGTTCGACAAATAATGAGATCGATTTCATCATGACAACCAGAAAGCACATATTCAATGATGTCTCCGTGATCAGCAGGGTGAAAACCGGTAGCGACCACCGAATCGTTAGAGGCACATTGAATATCAATGTTAAGCTCGAAAGATCACGTCTGATGAAGTCTACGCTCCGTCCTAGTGCTGCTCATATCGTGGACCCCGAAGCCTTCCAACTCCAACTACACAATCGCTTCCAGTGTCTAGCTGAATGCGAGTCTGTGGACGAAATAAACAACGGGTTTGTAGAAACAGTCCAAGCTGTGGGGTCTAAGTTCTATAAGGCCCCGCGCCGTATTAAATCTCAAAAGCTCTCAGACGAAACGCTCAAGTTAATGGCGGACCGGAGGGATATGAGACTGCAATCTTCAACCGATATGTCGGAATATGGTCGACTTAACAGACGAATTTCCAAATCGATGCGACGCGATCTGCGCTCCTATAATACTACACGTATTAGGAAGGCAATAGAGCGGAACCAAGGCTCCAAAGTGTTTGCACGAAATTTGTCTGCTGGGTCGAGTCAGATGACGAAGCTGAAGATCGACGATGGCAGGATCGTATCTTCAAAACCGGAGATTCTGATTGAGCTTGAGAGGTTTTATGGACAGTTGTACACATCATCACAACAACCCGTTGAAAGCAATGCTCAGGACACCAGAGCAAAGCTGACCCGACATCACACCGAGGATATCCCAGACATCAGCCAGTACGAGATTAGAATGGCACTCAAACAGCTCAAGAACAACAAGGCACCGGGGGATGACGGAATCACTACTGAACTTTTGCGAGCGGGTGGAAAACCGGTACTCTTAGTCCTCCAGAAATTGTTCAATTCCGTCATTCTCGAGGGTACGACGCCAGAAGCGTGGTTGTGCTCTTCTTCAAAAATGGTGACAAGACCTTGTTGAAGAATTATAGACCAATATCGCTTCTGAGCCACGTTTATAAGCTGTTTTCGAGGGTCATTACGAATCGTCTCGAACGCCGGTTTGATGACTTCCAGCCTCCCGAACAAGCCGGTTTCCGAAAAGGCTTTAGCACCATAGACCACATACATACGCTGCGGCAGATTATACAGAAGACCGAGGAGTATAATCTGCCATTTTGCTTAGCATTTGTGGACTATGAGAAAGCCTTCGATTCAATCGAAACCTGGGCAGTACTGCAGTCCCTCCAGCGATGCCAAATCGACTACAGGTACGTCGAAGTGTTGAAGTGTTTGTATAGCAACGCCACAATGTCGATTCGCTACCAGGAAGAGAGCACGAAACCAATCCAATTGCGCAGAGGCGTGAGACAGGGAGATGTCATTTCTCCGAAACTGTTCACGAATGCATTGGAGGACGTCTTCAAGCTCTTGGAATGGGACGAATACGGCATCAACATCAATGGCGAATACATCACTCACCTTCGTTTCGCCGATGATATAGTCATCTTGGCAAGATCGATGGAGCACATCAGTACAATGCTCAGCGACCTGAGTATCGTTTCCAAACAGGTGGGTCTTAAAATGAACATGAACAAGACGAAAATCATGTCGAATGTCCATGTTGCACCCGTACCGGTGGTCATTGGAACTGATACTCTTGAAGTTGTCGATCACTACGTGTACCTTGGACAGACAATCCAGTTAGGTAGATCCAATTTCGACAAAGAGGTCACTCGAAGAATCCAACTCGGCTGGGCAGCGTTCGGGAAGCTACGCGATATCTTCACGTCCAAATTACCACAGTGCCTAAAGACGAAGGTGTATAACCAGTGTGTGTTGCCAGTGATGACCTATGGCACTGAAACGTGGTCCTTAACTGCTGGCCTCTTAGAGAAGCTCAGAGTCGCTCAGCGAGGCATGGAGAGAGCTATGTTAGGGGTTTCTTTGCGCGATAGGATCCGAAACGTGGATATTCGCCAAAGAACTAGAGTGACCGACATAGCTCGCAAAGTTTGTAAGCTGAAGTGGCAGTGGGCAGGCCACATCGCTCGACGAACCGATAACCGATGGGGACGAAAGGTTCTCGAGTGGAGACCACGAACCGGAAGACGCAGCGTGGGTCGACCCCCGACTAGATGGACGGACGACATCGTCCGAGTCGCGGGCGGCCACTGGATGCAGCTGGCGCAATGTCGTCCGTCGTGGCGTTCAAAGGGGGAGGCCTATGTTCAGCAGTGGACGTCTTCCGGCTGATGATGATGATGATGAATTTATTTATCAGTATAGCATTGTGAAAGCAAAATTGATAAAATACAATAAATGTACATTACGGATAAATCTGTATATTTTATCAAATAATAAAGTAAAAGAAAACAGATACGTATTTTTTTTTTCTGGTAATGTTAAATATCACTTTTCCAATAATCACCCTCTTAAGCTTATTATATTTATAATATTGCATTTGTTATTTCATAAAACATTTATAATAAATGTGTCACGTGACCACAAACAACGTTTGACGTCACGCCCCTCAACTCATATAAGAACTTTACATTATACATAGAACGATATTAGTTTTATAGGGGCGTGACTTATAGCAACGCCACGACAGAAGATGCGTTCTCGCGGGAAATTTTAAAATGCAGTTAATTTTTAGATTTAAACTTATTATATGAATTATATTCTTTAATATTTTTTATATATTTCATGTATATCTATATAATAAAGATATTAAAAAAGTCGTATATTAAAATTGAATATCGGGCCCTCGTCTGTGATACAAAACGTTACATAAAGCTCTTCGAGACTAAGATCAATATAATCCCAATAACATCACAATAAATCAACTATTTAAACTATTCAACTACCATTATATTTTAACTATCACTACATTAAAGCAAAATAAACTTTAAAACTATAAGCGGAAAATTGAATGTACCATACCTCCTTTCACCCAACAACCAATTGAGTAGTACAGCGGTGCGCGCGCGCGATTCTCGCACCGAGCGCAAGTTCGAAAACAAACCAGAGTACGTAGAGTTATCCTGAAAGAGAAAAATAACGTATACACAAAAAATGTTAAATCGAAGTCACTTATGAAGAGGAGTATAATTTTCTTCGGAATGTATAATTCTTGGTCAGAACATGTAATTTAACTATTGAACCCACTAAAAATGAGTTTTCGAATACCAAGAAGATGCCTTATGTTTGACAATTAATTATTTAGTCTTCGATCCGTGCTAGCCCAGTATGGTAGGTTACTGTTTGTGCAGATTACGATTATATCTATCTTAACAGAAGGCTCTGTACTAGTCAGATGTAAAATTATTCAAAGGACTCACCGATGCCGGTGAATCGTCTTCTTCCATCGAGATGATCGCTCGTTGAGGGTCGGCACAAGGCTGAAAATATTATGCTTCTATTGTTTCCTGCAGAGCGATTCCGTAAAAATTCAAACCAGAATTCGTATTCACTAATATGTCTGAATTCACGCCATTTAGTGTAGAAATTCTATTAGTTCCATTTTTCGTATAAAGATACAAAACAAAATTGATTAATTAAACATATCTCAGATATTCTATACCTGTCAATTCTAAACTAGCTTTACTTATGCCACGACACGTTAATACCAATTTAAGGTTAAGTGGATGTCGTTTTGAAAGTGAATTCAGACACCTAAGTATATCCAAAATCGGTTTTTACGGAATCGCAGCGCCGATACCACTAGCAAGTTAGTATAAATCATATAGCGGTTAAACTTCTTTGATCCACGTATTAATTAAGGCAAAGATATTCAGAAAACAATTGTGCGAAAGTGTTAAATTAATAAGTAAAACTAAAATAAAAACATTGTTTGCAAGATTACATAAAATAATATGGACATATCCACTGGTATGTTACAGCAGGAAACTGAAAAGATGCGTCAAATTTCACGAGTACTTGTTACCTTATGAAAGCTAAGTCACAAAATATAATTCTGTCTATAAAACTAAAGATGACTATTTGATGCTAAGGTTAGTGCTTCATTAAAATTTTGTCGTTGTTGACGTTGACATTAAATAATTTGTCATTAAAGGAAGGCACGTTAAGCCGTTGGCCTCGGCTGCATTAGCAGTTGTTAATACCCTCCAATCCGCATTGAGTCCGCGTGGAGGGTTACGGCCCATCCTCCTTAAGCAACCATAATGAAGGCCTGAGCCTCTGCAGGTGAGAAAAAAGGACTCATGATGAATGTGTGTGATGATGATGTTGTTATTACCTGTGTATTATGTGCGTATGGCGGGGGAGGGGTGCCGGGGGGCGGGGTGCCACGCGTCCACGGCTGGTCCACACACATCGCCGGCGCCGGCACAGGAGTGGGCGGTAACGCTACAATATAAAACGGTAAAGTCTGATGTTCATTGGTCAATATACAGCATGTAGGCGGGAACCGAAATAATGGTCCATTTACACGAGGCCAATAGCCGAGAGAATGAGGAAATATTAAAAAAAAAGTTCTCGCAATCAAACTAGATGTCGCTACGGTATTTTCATGGTTTCCCCATGACAACCCTTCCGGTTTTCTTTCATGTATAAAAGTAAATAAATTTTCAAAACTCATATTCTATTTATTGATATTATATCTATTTGTACTAACATCAAAGTGTCGAACTTTGCAAATTTCAGTTTTTTTATAAGTTAGTTAAAAGAAACGGAAACGATTATCTTTGGTTCATTCATTTCGTTTATTATATTATATCTATTCGTTTATTTAGTAGACAATTTTAGGCCCGAGGTAGGCCCGTCTACATTTTATTATATTAGATTAATTTTGCATTCACAATGCTATACTGATTAATATTTCAGTGAAAAATGCTCAAAAAATCCACCAAACCAAGGGTACCCCGCGATGACATCCCAGCCATCACCAAAATAAATAAATAATGTTACCAAAATAACTTATACGACATGTATTGTATTAATCAGTGAAAAAAAAATAAAGACATCATATTTTACAATTTTCATTTATTATTTTTTTAAGTAGCGCAGTTACTTGTAGTAGTGTCATATATTTTCTAATTAAAATATTCGATCGCGAACTTTATCAAACTCAAATTGACAATAGGTATTAAAACTCACATAGGAAATCACATACTACTTTTTCAATATAAGCCCCTGTACAGTAGAGTAGATTTCGGTATCCGAAAGTGGCATGGGTAAGTAAAAATTTAGTTAATTTACTAAAGTTAATGTTTGGTGTCATTGATGAAATAATTTAAATAGTTCTATTTCCAAGGAAAGAAAGCAAAAATAAATAATTATGAGTTTATTTTTACGCTCAATCGTTACTGTAATTTTTCCTCTCTTTAGACATATCACTTTCATTGTCGTTTTTACTTAACAAAAATCCAATAACAATAGCAGCAAGACAATCTTTATTAATTAATACAGAGAAAATATAATTTTGTTGAAAATTTAATAGCTCAAAGACGCGTATAAATCGCTAACTGTTATGCTGTTGCTACTGAAAGGCGACGGCGGGGAAGCGCAATCTATGCGCTACTATGACGTTTTTTACTCTTAATTTGGTACACTATCGAGAATTTTATCAATATTGCGTGGTGATTGAATGAACTAATTGACATTGAGTGAGTATTAAGTCTATGTTTCAAGAGTACGAGTTAAGATATGATAAAGTTTGAGCCATCTTTATCAATCTACATTGGATTGAATTGAAATTGACATTGAGATTGCGTTCAAGAGTAAGCCTGCAAGAGGCGCTATGCAAATTAATACATAAAATTAACATTTGTGGGTCGATACGACTTTGATGCTTTGCCGACAACTTTTCGTGTTAAGGGAAGCACGAATATTATGGAAATCTATTACAAGAAAAAGAACAGAGCATCGCCATCATAAAATATCAATATTAGAATTAAAGTAATACTTACGTCTAGGTGATTCTATTTCTAATTGTTCCGGTGAAGATCTACTCCGCATATGCAGTACGGGCAAACTCGATCGATTATCAGTCTGCACAAATACAAGACATTATAATATAGGAAAAATATTTTTCATGAACAAACAAAAGAAAGAAATTAGAAGTTTAATATAAAAGAAGAATGAAAATATAATTTGTTACAGATCTCTTAATATTTCTTTATCTTCGAACCCCAAAATGATAATTTATCACAATTAATCCGCTAGTATCATTATTATTTGCAGTATAATTAAATACTGTACTAAACATTATAATGGATCTTTTGAGGCACACAATAAGGTAGACAGCAAACAAACGCTACAACCTGTATCAGAATAACTTTTATTTCAAACATCAACCCATATTATATATTGATGAATTTTATGCAACTTTCATTCCTGGCATAATAAATAAACATATAGAAGAATTGTTAGTCACGAAAAGATTTAGAGATAGAAAAATGAACACATATATGATAGATAGTAAATATGATAGATGCACTCAAGTTTTATAATATTTAAAATAAATTTCTAAATTATAAATGCTAAATTCCAAAAGTGTTTATCGATTTTACTGAGATGTAAAATGCAACTTTAGGTTATCACAAAATATAAAAATCAGAAGGAGTTTCAAACTTAAGTGCCAACAAATTATAGTTTAAAATCGACTGTAGAAATATGACAATTTTAATTAACTAACACCCGGTTTCTGAATCGAGAAATGACAGCTAAGCTCAACTCTAACCGTACTTAGACCATCATAAATGATGTCACTGAAACAGGTTTTCGTTTTTGGTTTTAAGTTTTTTAATGATCAGTTAATAGCAGTTTGATAAAATTAGGCCTTTTAGCTATTTGAAAACGTAAAAAACTTAGATTATTGAGAATAATCAGTTGATATCTTGTACTTTTCTCAAACTTTTCTCAATTCAGACACCGGCCGTATGTTGACTGTAAAAAACAAATTATGTGATGATTGAAAAAGCCAATAAAAAAAATAATGCATAGTTAAATATTGAGATTTTCATTATCCGCACCGTTTTTTATTTTATCAATATTATAATTTCAGAAATTTATTAAGATTGTCGTTGAACCGATCCTGATGAAAAGTATTGTGATTATAATTCAAATCGATACCTTGGATATTAAAATTCTCAATAAAGCACTTTTACCGAATCGATCTACATGTGCAATGCACTTAATACAAATTCTTTACGAGACCCACCCAGACCCGATACTGAAATATCGAACCTAAAACCCTTGATAAGGTGGATTTTCCATTGTTCCGTTACCTGCAGCGGGGGTGGCGGCACGTTGACCAGCGGGTAGCTCATCTGCATCGCAATAGAATTAGGCTCAGGCCCCTCCCCCGCATCCCCCGCCCCTCCGTCCAGCGACTGTGACGACTTCAACAAGTCCGCTCGATACGGCGGCATCGACCGGTGCATCGGAAACGGATCTAACGGCCGACCATTGGAGGTGGACGGCTTCGGTTTCGCAAGGGGATTCAACGGGGGAGGCGGGGAGAGGGGAACCCGTTTCGGACGTTCTATGGAGCGCGGCGGGAGAGGTGGAGGGGAAGCGTTGTCTAAACACGTGGTGGGAACGAGAGGAACGGTGTTGTTGTGACGCCGCTCGGTAGACTCCGTGGACTCGTCGGAGTCGTGCCGCTGGAGGAGGGCGGGCGATTGTTCGTTTCTATTGCGGGCATTCCTCAGGTTCCGCAGACTCTGCCCGGTGAGATTGGAGAGGGAACGCGGCAGGCCGCTGAGGAAGCCCGAGTTGGGCTTGTTGTCGCCGCGGCCGCGGATCGGTGACGGCTATGTGCGGAACGAGACGGACCGTGTCGGTACGGGTACGTGCGCAGGGTTGATACGGGCACGCGCTATATACGGGCCCGGGAATGCTAGGACCACATGATTGAAAGATATTCGTTCTTTTCAAGTCAAATTAGATCACGTTCGCATTATTGATTGGAAATTTTAATTAATTTTAGTTTCAAGACCAGTAATTTTTTTGTATTGGAAATAAGAAAATTCACTTTTCTGCTTTTTGACATAAGGCTTATTTTCTATATAATATAATAATATATTATTATTTTGATTTACAACATAAAAATATCACTCTTTTATTAAAGCACTTTTAGCTCGTTAGCAAAACGCAAACCGATGTGACCCGAGAACTAGTCTTGAAAGTCTTTTTAAAGGAGTCTTCCCTAAAGACTTCGACTATTGTTTTCTAAATAGGTTTTAAGATACGATGTGAGTAAGATAAATAAGCTTCACATGAAAACACTTTAAACAAAAACAGTGACCTATGACTTCTATAGCGACGATTCTAATGTGTGATTGAAGAAAATGTTGAACAATCATACGAAAAAAAATGCGTAAACTCGTGACCATTAGCATCCCTTATTAAAATAGGGGAAATATAATGTCAAAATTGTGTAAATAACAGCAAATAAAGCTGTTCACAACGGACATTCTTCTAATTGAAACTTTAAAAGTATAACACTAAAGTTCAAATCAATTAGAATAAATTTCCGTTTCAAAATAACCTGAAACTATGGTACATTTTACTAATATGATTGTTCACAAACTACTGCCGTAGCAAACCTCCACACGGACCGACCGTTTTGTAATAAACACGCTTCAAACCGTTACTTTACACACACATACGAACCATTCCCATGGCGGTGATGATGAGACGAAAGTTAAATTTGGTGGTATTCATTAAAGTTATTGTTTTTTTACCTGTCTGATTCTATGCATCCTCTTCAAACTCAAAAATAGTATAGGCTTTAAATAAAATACTCTTTTCTTATATTTTAACGCGCACTATTGGTTAAACGGCACGAACACGGAACCTGTATGTAAAGGGTCCGAAACGTTATGAAAGCAAATGCAAACGCCCTGAAAGCGTTAAAAGTTGTTTCATTTAATAAAATACTCTTTTCTCTTTGTGTATTTATAAAGTCTTCTTCAACTACTACTACTAGAAGAGCAAAGAAAACTATGTCCAAAGAACCATGATTAACTTTATTTTCTTATTTTTTTAGAATAGGGCACAAATATTTGTTCATCAGAAATATCGGGCCTAATTACCAAATTTTTATTTATAAATAATTTCCAGCATTATAATAAATCATTATATTTCAATATATCTCTTTAATTGATAGGGAACATGTTTACATATTATATTAGTATCCATTGATTGATATCGCGATGAAAAAAACATCTTGTATACTGTACGTCTGCTGTATGTATACAAGTTTACAAGAAATACTACAAGTACTATAGTAGTATGTGATGTGAATGAAAGGACGCCACAGAAGCAGACAAGTGTGTATTGGTGGCTCTTCACTTGGCTACAGCAAGAACTTGTACAGCTTGTCTTTTACATTTATGTATTTGCCAATTAAGACCATAAAATCCGCGTTAGCTTCTTGTGAATACCCAGTAAGTGCCACCATTACGGTTACACCCAGCAATTAGTGTTAGTCACGTGATTTATGTTCGCCAATTTTAATATAATTCACTTTCGCCTCCAATCGCAACGCTGGAATTATTAATTTATCCGAACATGGTTTAATTATTACAAACTTCATAGTCCCGTATTGTAATTCCCATTCAGGTATCATTGATAGGAATGGAAGTAAGGTCTACCAATCAGTTAGAAAGGAGAAAGAGGCGGCACTCTATGTGTCTCTCTTTACTCGCACATGCATAGTTAGCGCGAAAATAGTAATATGATTAAATAATTTGTTTATAGCTATCCTGTGCATGCGTCAAAAGAGAGCAATAGATAAAGCCCCACGATCTTTCTTCTTTTTTTAATCGTGGGGCATTTCTGCTTCCAGTTAGCCTAATCTATTTGTAATAATTACCCCGAATAGTCATCCGCTGTCCAGTGAAAAAATACCTTTTGTTCCTTGTTGCTAATTTATCATTACACATTTCTTTATTGTTTTAATGCAAACTTTTTGATGTTAAACTAAATTGTTGTAAACACTGAGTATACAACAATACAGCTGTCTAAAATATTAAATTCAATAGCAGTGGTAGTATAGACTAGTTCCACATTTAACAGACAGTGAATAGAAGAGGTGATTTTTTTTATAATGAATTCCAGCGCCGCGACACAAACATACATGAGAAAAAAAATTATGAACTGATAATAAAAAGGTGAGTATAAAACTAAACTGACTGCAACATAATTTTGCCAACTTAAACAAACATAGTGACTAATGCGATAATGATGATAAAAATATTGTGGAATCATATTACAAATTCATTACAAATATAACATGATTGTGCATTGACTTTTTTATCGGTTAGTTAAATTTTGACTTATATTCATATATTACTTTTACAATACTATGTTCGCACACCACATTTCCCTTATCATCCGAATAAATTTTAACACGCGTTCCAATTTTTATGCAGTTAAATAAAATCAATAAACATATCTTAGGTAAAAAAATATTTATACAAAAGAATCGGAAAACAAATACGAAATCCCTTTAGAAACTTCAAAGTCAGTGCGCAATTATAGTCTTTATCACGTGACACAAATAAGGTGCACAATATACCTGTGAAGCGGAAACGGCGTCTATTTGTTGCTTGAGTTTGGAACACCTCAATTCGGCGGACTCGAGCTGCGTCTGTTTTCGTACATCGGGGACTTTGCAGAGTTCATCTGAAAATTAGAAAAAGACAGTCCATAATTTAATAATGTCTTTTAAATTTATTTAACTACAACAAAAATATACAACACGGTAAAGAATAAAACATATTTAGGGAAATTGCTAAACCATATAGCAAATTACGCCGTGGGGTGCCGGCCTAAGAGTAGCACCCCCCCCCCCATATCCTCCCGTGGGTGTCGTAGGAGCCGACAAAGGGATTATACGGAAGGCGGGCGGGCAGCAGCGCCTCCCGGTATCACCTACCACCACCTACTGTGATCCCCAAGTCGCCTGCCAAGAGTGGGGATTATGGCACCCCCCCCCCCTTAAGGGGGAGGCCTATGTTCAGCAGTGGACGTCTTCCGGCTGATGATGATGATGATAGCAAATTCCACATTATTTTGTTTCCATATAATGTTGTTATATTGAATTTTTTCTTTATAATAGAGAAAGTCCTCTATCATATCATCACAACATAAATTCGGTAGTGTACCTTTTTGTTTTACATAATCGAACGCGGTTTCATTAAGAACACACTTTATTTGCTTGATAAAGTACCTAACAATCTATACTAATGGTTGGTTGCACCAATTTACTTTACCAATACCAAGTTAGATACACCTTTGGCAATGGTTAGAAGACGTCATAACCTTAACTGTTAGTTAACTATAACCAGCCAAGTTTCACTGGTTTAATGTTATTGTTTTATATTGAATTGAAACTAATTGAGGGGTAAATAAGGTTTTCTTTGATTTGTAACACTGATAAATTTCAATATGTTAAGATAGAGGATGGTACTACGCATTCCGGAATCAATGAAGTCAGCGTGACAGTTAGTCATAAACCTTAATTTTAACTGCTATTATGGTGTAACCCACCCTAAGTATACAAGATTAGTACATTCATAGACTGCACGAAAATAATGGTTATGGTATCAATATCAAGTGCATTGCACTGGTGATTCAGTGAGGCGTCTTAATAAGCAACACGCGCGTGAGTTTCGTGCCAATTAGAGTTCATTAGGATACAGTAGATATACTATACTATATGGAATAAAAAAAATACTCGCTACGAAAAGAATTGATAAGTTCGTGTTGAAGCATAAATTTACGAAGTATTTTTTCAATTTTATAACTAGCTGTATACCGCGATTTCGCCCGTATGATGTAGCTTCCCATAGATGAAAGAATTTTCATGAAATTCTTTAACTCTTTGTTATATTATATTAGTAAATATAGTGAATCCAAACTTATCAAAGTGGTTCATAGAATTTCTATTTCTTTTTACTATCTATAGATAGCGCATGTGTTCCAATTAACTGTTCCCGACATCATTCGAGCTGTCCGAATACCATTTTTTGTCTGTATGTTCTGCACCAGCACGATATCTACTGGTAATAATAAATTAAACTCACTTGATAGTATTATATATTAGATGAGTAAGATTGATAAATCTTATTTATATATTATATAATCTCGCATCACATTCTATATTACCATAATCCTCCGTAACATCTTGAACGATTTTGATGAAATTTTATGTGTATTTAGTAGGTCTGAGTAGGTTGTTATATTTATATTTACCCGGCAAAACAACCGAGTCAGCTAATATACGTTACAATATCAATAACTCACTGCGCAAATCCCTGATGTATTTCTGTTCCTGTTCCAGCATCAGCCGCATGGTGTACAGCTTGGACACCTCCAGCTGTCGTTGCTTCTCCGGCTGCGGTAACCAAACATACTTCTATAATGAACCATATTAAGATTGGGCATTAAACTGACGGAAAAACGGGAGAATGAGACGAAAAATTAAAGCGAAAAAACTGTCATTATTACTATTTCACTACCAAACTTATTTCAAAATTTCGTATAGAGATGATAAAGATGAATGAACTTTGAGAAAGGAAATGGCTGCCGTTTCCGAAAATACCAACAACTAGCCGTTTTCCTGCAATTTCTCCCGCGTAAATTAAAGCGTATGCCATCCGCGTATATAACTTCAAGTGAGTTCTAGTAGTTGTGGAGCCTATTCAATGCAAACAAACTAACAATCAAATCTTTCCACTTTATAATATTAATGTAGCCAAAAGTCTTGCTCCACGCAGGAGATATCTCAGCAACCGTAGCAGGACAAACTCGAAAAAATGGAAAGATTATGGTATCAACGCACACGATATAAGTTATTACTTATATCTTATATCTTATAGTATAGTAAATTCTTATTATTACGACAGCCAAATCGTACTTTAGTAAATATCTTTGCGCGTTTCGGGACTAAGTATTAATCTCAATTAATAATAATAGGCTTTTTAACATATTTATAAATTAACATCCAAATAAAATAACATAAATAAGCAACAATGAACACACGATAGTATACAAGTCCTATCATAATATACCTGACGCAAAACAAATAATATTTATGCTTCATAACTTATGGAACTTAATTTCCTTTTGTTACAACAAACCTCATGATTACGTTTAGTATCTTACGTTATTAAAATCGCACCGCAAACTTAAATACAGCTGTACAATTATAGCTAGATGCGTGCTAAGGTCGTGTGGCTTGCCACAAAAAGTAACACATGTATAGACAGACATACACGTCAGTCTGCTATTATATAAAATGCGAAATTTCTGCAAAGAGTTTTGAATTCGATAAATTCAACACAATCATAATTAACATAATTATATGACGGTGGCGAACACCATTCCAATTAATTAATTCATTTCCATAAGCACTGTAGTGACGTCATTTCTTTATTTTACCGCGATCTCGCCGGCAAAAGAATAGCCCATGTCACCCGCGTATGATGTAGCTTTCCGTAGACGAGAGAATTTTAAATAAATCGGTCCGGTGTTTCGGAGCCTATTAAGATGCAAACAACCAATGCGATCTTTCCTCTTCATAATATCAGTATAGACAAACTAATCTTAAGACGGCGTAACTATAAATTATTAACGTAAAAAATACATAAGTACTTTTATTTTTTAGACAATTAAATTGATAAAAATAAGGTAAAACCATGAAGTTTTCACAAAGAAGGTAACTACATACATTGACTGGCACAGGTGCTGTGATGGGAGTTTTATGGCGGGACGAGTTCTGTTGAACCGTAAGCACTGTCGTTGGGTTTGCTGAAAAATATAAGACAAAACCATGATTTTAATAATAAATACGTAATATGACATTATACAGACTATTACAACAATTAGACAGTAGAAAGCAATGTCGTTTCTTAAAACACTCATTCTAATTTCTAAAAACCGTGGGTGGTTTAGAATTTTCGTCTGCGTCAGTATGTATTTTTTTTCTTCAGTGAGTATTTCAGAACGTGCTATTACAAAACTGACAATTTAATTGTAACATAAAAAGTAGACGGGACTTGTGGGCGTGCACATACCTCCTTAAAATACTTTAAAGCAAATCTCAGTTTTAGTATCATTTCCTTTAACAGTCATCTAACGTATCCTACTTTTAAAAAGATACTATATGAATAAATAAAATATAAATGAAAGAGCAACTGTATATTATTAGGACAACTTAACGTAACCCACCATCGGTCAGTTGCACAAACGTCCATTAAGATTTAATGACGTCTTTAAGTTCTAATTATTGTCAAATTTATATGAGTAATGTTGCTTTAGACTAATGACAACTTTAATGGGCGTTTGTGCAACTGGCTGTATACGAAGTTGCTAATCTATAATTAAGAATGGGAAAGGACTAAAAGTACTGCATTGCTTCTTATATCATCTAGACCTCTGTTGATGCGTGTATTGAATCAATTACGCATCAACAATACAAGAACACCCCGATTAATCTACTCTAATTTGAGAAGTCCCAAATAAAATGAGAGAAACCGTATGACACAACACACAAGGCACATTATTTATGTGCCTTGTCACATTGTTTATGTGCCTTGTTTTATATAAACGACCTGCAGTATTATTCTGTTAAAAAAAAACAACCTCTAGCTTATAACACAACACCGTCATAGTATACATGTTCAATGAAATTAAACCCACTTCAAACGGTAATAAAAAAATTATTCCATTGAAGCACTAGGGTTTCACACCGCTGTGCTTAACGTCGAGTTCAAAGCTGTCTTTAGCACAATAGCATAACTGGTTAGTGTTGATTAAAGTCACAAACCTTATATTGTTTATTATCCAGTCCTACTTCGAGAAACTTGTTTTTAGAAAAAAAAACCGAAAGGTGTCAACTCTATATGTACTGCAGATAACTGTAGCGTCAATTTTCAGTTGACATCAATACGTTACATCACTCCACTTGAGCAAGGTAAAACTAATAATAAATTGATAAAAGAGAAAAAAAAATAGAGAAGAAATTTAAGGAAGGCCGACCCAGTGTAAGGGGCCATCCATAAATTACGTCACACTTTAGGAGGGGGTCAACGAACTGTGACATTAGAATAATATTTAGTAAAATTTGTATAGACAAACATGTAACAGGAGGGGGGGGGGGGTTAAAAAATCATGAATTTTGTGTGACGTAATTTATGGACCCATTAGGGGAATGGGAAAAGGCGACGGCAAAGAAGACGACTGTATTACCTCGTATCATCTGGACGACCTGCTGGTGCGTGTGCCTGTGCACTGGGACGGTGTCCACGCGCAGGATACGATCGCCGGCGCGCAGACCAGCGCGCCACGCGGCACCGTGCTCCTTCACCGACTGGACGTATACAGGATTGTCACCTGATAGTCACGACAAGAAAAAAAAACATTTTTTACATATTACAACAGTATTTTTAAACAATCTAATGCCCCAGGTGTACCAGTAAGGGTACAGCGGAGGGCGTTTGTACGTTGTACGTACGTTTTGACTAGCTTTCGGGCGGGTCCGTGTGGATGGAGTCCCACACTTCCCTGTCGCCTGTCACACGGCAGAGACAGTGCATAAAGCATTCCCCTAAGACACAAAAAAGGTGTTCCAGCACCCTACATGGCTAGTACGTATACGCTTAGTACTTCAACATAATAAAATATCAAGCTTTAGAAAGCTCTTGTACAGTTTTGTCACGAACTCTTAGACTATAACATTGAGTGAGTATTAATGAGCTATTCGGAACTTAATAGACACGCCTTCCTTTGTGTGTATGTGTGTGTGAACTGTGAAACCAAGGCACCACAACATCCAGTCCCAGGTAGATATAGAAAGTTCGTGTACCATATTGTCCCGATCGGGAATCCAATGCGGGAAATAATACCTACCTTAAAAGTGACTTAATTAATCAAGAAACTGTTATAGAAGTTGGGTAGAGGTTTTCTTTAGGTTATTAAATGATAACCGCCCGCATAAGTCAGTTAAAAACCAGATTCTGTTTTCATTTAAAAAAGGTTATATAGGCAAAAAAGTCAACGGGGCCATTTGAGTAGACATTGAATTACCTGACACCTTCATCCCGTATCCGTGCTCGTCGCGCACGATAGTGACGGTGAGCAGATCCTCGCCACCCGGCGACGCCGCCCCGCCCAACATCACCTACAACAAACAAACACACACAATAAACACTAAATACAAATAAGCTCAGTGGCGTAGTGGACAAGAGCCCCTGCCCACGATCATTATTAAGCAACTTTCGCAAGGGTTTCGCAAAAAAAATATCTCGAGCTACATCGTGCTTCGGAAGGCATGTTAAGTCATTGATCCCGGCTGCATTTGCAGTCGTTATGCTGTCCAATTCGCATTGGGCCAGTGTGGAGGACAATGGCCCATTCTTCTTGAAGGCCTGAGCCCCTGCAGTGGGGACGTAAAAGGGCTGATGATGATGAATGAAAATTTATATAGAAAATGCCATCCACGAAGACGCGTCATCTATTAGGGGGTTATAAATGGTTGGCGCGGGGTGCGTTGCGTTTGACCCGAAGTTATTGTCACTTGAGATTTGTTAATAAATACAATTGTAAAAGATCTTATTTTGAACTACAAAAAGGCAACTGGAGGGTTGCGCAAGCCTTTAGAAAGAATAAAAAGGCGCGCGTTCAGGCACCATCTATAACATCTATGAAGAGATTTAGGAACATACGAATATTCCCAAAACACATCATAATTAAGTCAATCCATTATCTCAACGACGAGCAAATCAATAAAATAAATAACAATCAACATCACCGTCTGATAAAAAATAAAGTTCAAAATTAAAGCATTCAATTTTGTTTTGATTAGCATCTGTCAAAGTTTCATTACTTGGATATTGTCTTGTAACTTAACCATGTCGGCTTTAGCATCAAGCTCAAAGAAAGATCTTCTAAAAAGATACTATAACATTACAGTTACGACACGTAATAACGATTCCATTTAAGGCAATTAACCGACCACTTCCACGCTGCGCATCTTTAACTAACGTTTGACAGAATTTCACGATATCTTTTACACACGTAACACTTTGATGCAACTATTATATCATCACACTATAATAAAAGAATACCCTTCAACAAAACACTTAATGTAAGTAAATTGAACTTACACGTTTGTTCAACGAGCTGAACTTAGTTCTTTATTCAATAACTAGCTTTTGCCCGCGACTTCGTCCGCGTGGTAAAGTTACTTTGAGCAGCATTTCTAACTAATATTTATTCATTATATCGTATAACATACCTGAAATAAAGTTTCATCCCTATTTTGTTCCCTTAGAGGTGGAATTTATCAAAATC